CGATTTATGGGCTCTTAAATAATTAGGCTATACATGAAAGAACATTTTCTTATTTATATAAAATTAAATTTTGTAAAATAGGAAGATATAGGGGAAAGGCTTTTACAGATGACAGGTTAAAAAACTTGGATAAAGCCGATCGACACTGTACGTGCATAAAAATAGTTTCTGTATTTGGCTTTAGGTACGTGCAAGAATAATTTTGCCACTGATAGAATTTAACTTTTTAATTCCTGAGAAAATAATAATAAAAAAAAAAAATACTTGGAAATAAGAAATTTAAGGAAACTATAGGCTGTTTGCTCTTAGTTGTTGCATAATGCATGTATAAATTCTTTTTTCTTATAATATACCGAGTATCAGGAAATCAGATGTTTTACATGTAATCTTATGTAAGTAAAAGACATAAGCAATTTAAATATAAACATTTCAATCTATGGATAAAATTATTTTAAAAATATTTGACTAAATTAAAAGAAATGAAAGATAGGTTTATTTTTCTGATAAATTAAAATGAGGAGCCGAAATATTTATAATTTCCAAGTAAAAAACAATCCCGATTGAAATAAAACCGATCCCGATCGGAAATAATGCAAAATTGATAAAGTTATCAAACTAAAGGCGACTGCCATCTATAAGACATGCATAAAAATAAATAAAGTAATTTTTAAACTATATTTCAACAAAACAGCCAAATTTGTTAATACAGTTATAGTATTTTCTTCTTTATATAATTCCGATCGGGATCGGTTTAATTTGGGAAAAATTATAGATAATAGGTAAATTTGACTCGTTTTATTTCTCTCAATATACCCGTTCCCACCAATTTTATTAAGTGCCTCAAAAGTTTGTACTTTGTTTTCATAAAACACATGGAAAAATTCTGTCGTAGTAATGTATTGGATTTTATAACGTATCAAAAATTGGACACATAATTCAAAAAGTCACTTGCTAAACTCAATTTTGGATTACATATTTTTTTTTCTAAAGAAATATAATTTGGAGTCATTCATTATAAAATAAAAGATAAGAGTCTTTGCTATAAATAATATTGATTGACACTTCCAGCTATTGAGTATCTGTTTCATATAAAACAATATAAAAACGTAGTATTTTTTTTACCCTCATGTTGACCTTTTGGCACTTAATATTAGACCTTTACCAAAAATAGGACTAGATGACCACTAAAAATTTTTTTGATGTTGTCATGTGTAAACACTTGCTTTAATAAATCTACATGCAAAAAATAATTAAAATCCGTGACATGCGATGTGCCACCCATTGCCTGGTTTTTCGGTAGATTGCCTCTTAAAAACATGCCTCTAATGAGGAGTGGCCGTTCGTTTGAAGAAACTCGAATTCCCTTCAAATTAGGATGCTACTGGCACGTTTGGTTGAAATTGGCCCAGCGGTTCTTGAGAAGGAGTCGAACATTTGACAAGTTTACAGACAGACAGACGGACGCCTTCGGCTCCGGTGAGCTAAAAATGAAATTTACTTCCTTAAAAGAAAGAAAAATATTCTTGAAAAGTTCACGGTCATACAAAAACTTTATAAGGAAGCAATAAGTATTCCATATGTAAAATCAATTGTATCATGGCTGTTTTTTTTTCCTTTGAAGTCAAGTGTACAATAACTGGAGATACACCGATGGGCGTATCCATAAAAAACTGGGCCGTGTATATGGGCGGAGCCAGCAAAAACTGTGCCGTGTAAATAAATTATTGAACACCAAGGTGATTTCGACATTTTAAATTACATGTACAGGGTGTCCCAAAACATATGTTACACTTTTAATCATACATTTTAAATTTCATTATTGTAACTTAAGGCATAAAATTTTTATGATGGTTTAAAAGTGTAACATATGTTTTCGGACACCCTGTATATTGAATCTAAATAACAGAATGAATGGGCTTTGTAATACAAATGCAATAATTCTGCAAGCGAAATAAAAGTCTTTCACATAAATTACAGTACGTATTTATCCCAAGCTACGAAATGATTTTACGGAGCTCTTCAAATACTCAATCCACAGCAAAGCGAAATCAAATGCTTGACATGAATTCCACACACAGAAATATATTAAAATATCCCACCTATTGTATTATAGGGCTTACGCTGTACTGCATCCACAGATGAAGAGTAATTGACCCTGACACAGCGTTTTCGTGAATACGACAACTCTCGAATATGTAAATGATCAACGGGTATCTTTTTTCTTTATTTTCGAATAACACTTGAATTTAGCTTCCTCAACTTCGAATTTTTCTTCTTTGATATCCAAAGGTTTTCTTGTGAATTTCATCAACAATCCAGGGACGAATCCAGCAATTTTTGAAAGGGGGAGGCTCCAGGTCGGTGCCCCCAGCACTCATGCACAGAATCACACACCGGCCACTTTAAGTCCGTAGCTACATTTAAAAGGGGCCTCCAAATACAGCTGAAAGGAAAAAACACTTTGCACCACACTCTAAAATCCTGGGGGGGGGGGGGGGGGTGCTGGGATGCTGCAATCCGACGTCCTTTCTCATGAAAATACGCACGTAAAATGTTTATTAAAAATACTGACAGAAAGGAGAGATTATCCATGCGGTCACCTGACAAAAACTACATTTTCTATTGGTGTAATTAAAAATCATGCTGAAAATCTGTGACATGACGTTTGATTGGCCATGATACAAGAAAGTTATTGAATATTTATTACGGTGTATCCTGATTTGTTTGGACGAAGGGCGGAGACTCGTGCTTCGCACTCGTCACCGCCCTTCGTCCAAATAACTCAGGATACACTATAATAAATATACAATAACTATTCCTTAAATTACGCACGTGCACTGATTGATAATTTGGTTAATTTACTGTGAAGTATAGGTAGTGGAAATGGGTGAATTATAGCCATCAAAATTATTTCAGAATATGAATTGGTAAACTTTTCATTTTGCATACTGGTATGTATTTACAATGTACGAAAGATAAATACATTGTTTAAAAATAAAAGTATACTCTGAACCCATTCTGTATGATTTTTTTTTCTAAAGAAAACATGATATACCCCAACAAACTCGTTTACTTATAATCAGCTAGTCTGAAACTCTGTTAAGAAGACCATGAAATATAGAGTTTAACGCCTTTATCAAGAAATTAAAAACCTAAAACAAATCTCGTATATTTTATTGCTATCTAGATCTTGTTGTTTAGAGAATTCAGATACATACTGTTAGGATATTTTTGTCTTCCTGAAACGCCAAACCTTTATGTCATTAAATACATGAAATGAAAAATCAAATGTGTCAAAGACATTTCTCATAACCTATTATTTGAAAATAATTGTTTTCTAGTTCATGTACGAACTTTGAAAACTGAGAGTCGGAAATAGAATTATAATCTTCATTTTGTATGCCTCTGTTCTTTTCCCAAGTAAATTGTGAATGATTTGCCTCAACCCTTATACGTACTGTTACTTTATTTTCAATCTGTATAGAGTGCATATTAAACGTAAATGAATATAGATGTACATTGCTTTTTGCTAGAATTGAAGCATTATGCAACAATTACATTGTTGTAGGAAATGAATGCATATTATACATTTAATGTGTGCAGTGTCAGATGTTCTTTCGTAATAGCTTGAAAAAAAAAATGAATAATGGTAAAGCGTAGTTTTTTTTTTCATTTTTAAAACATTTAACGCCCTCTCCGGCCTCAAACAGCGGTCTGTCCTTGTATACAATTTACAATATTTTTAGAAATCGGTGGCGAGTTTAGATTTGTTTTTAGTTGGATACGAGTCAGAAGCAACCAGCTCAAACTTAAAAACATACATTGTGTACCGGGTATAAACATGTATATGAATGGAGGGGGAAGGGGGTGGGGTGGAGGTGGGGCTTGTTTAATTTTTTTTTCAAATACATGACTCTCTCCTGATACTTTTTAAGTTGGTTTTGTATTTCCTAAGGTTGGTTTTTAGTTACTTTTACATAATGCTATTTAATAACTCAAATGTTACATTTCAACCCCCCCCCCCCAAAAAAAAACTCGACTAAAGAATCGTATATATTTTTTAAAACTTAACATCTCAGGTTATCTGCATGCAGTCCGTCAGCTTTGTATCCGATTCCATGGTTCTTTTTATACATTAAACAATTAAAATTTTACTGCATTTTTTGACGTATGGTCTACTCAAGCATAGATCAATCACAAATTTAGTTGCAGAACTGTAGCTCTCCGAAAAAATGTATATTGACAGACCGGAGAGCTACAGTGCCATCCATTGAAAAAAACTGTATATTTAGTGCGCAAAAAAAAAAACGCTGTTTGAATTATTTCTCCATGTTTTTTAAAACTTTCTTCTCAAAATATTACTTACCGTGTGTTTCCAACATATTCTTTCACTGTTTTCAAAGCAAAACATTCTTATAATTATTTTAAAAGCCCCCCCCCCTCCACAGCCCTGAAATTGAGATTATCGAAAATTTAGCTAATTTATACTGCCAATTTAATTTGCAAGATAATTCGGTCCAACACGCTTTGTACAAGTATCAACCACGAGCTCGAGAGTACTTGAGAGAGGTGTACATTATGTAAATAGATATTGTAGAAAGGGAGTTAGCACTTTTGAAATTTGCGATATGACTTTTTTCGGGCCATAGCGAGCGCCGACGTGTAGTGTACATGTAGCACTTGGTAAAAATGAACTTTATAGTACAAATTTACATACCTTGCTCTATCATCATTGAAAATCTCATGTGCTTTTCTAAGAAGTGCTGCGGACAAAATTACCCTCTAAAATCACTAAATCTCGAAAATCTCTAAACCAGAAGTGACGTCATCAAAAATTTGAAATTACATGTCTAGTATTTTTAAATCCAAAATCGGTAGGAAAAAACAAACAATAATAAAAATAGTGGAAGAGAAACCTAAGAACAACAGTATGGTCTTGCGCTAAAGACGGAAGACCAAAATAATAATAATTATACTTTATTTAAAGACGGTAACCTGGTTAGTGCTCTTCTCCATGGCCTTCTAGATATTAAGGACAGATATATAAATTTTAATAATTATATACCAGGTATATACAAATATACAAATTAACATATTGTACATGTAGACCTTATAATTACAGTCACAGATGTATGAATACAATTTCGTACAGACATATTCAAGTCCTCTTTTCACCACCCAGTTGTACATCTTTGGAACAAACTACCTCAAGAAATTAGACTTTCTTATTCACAAAAATATTTTAAATGCATGTTAGAAAATTACACTGTTAGCTGACAATCACATGTTTGAGCAAATAGATTCCCTCTTTTTTTCATGCATTTTTTCCTTTTAATATATGTGTAATTTACATTTCTTTTAACAATGTATCTTATTTGTTGGTGTTTCTTCTTTATGTTATTAGCAAAGACAAACTCTGTATTTGTTTTAATTGCTCTACATCAAAATTTATATTGTTATGTGGATTCTTGAGCTTGAATATTGTTCCTTGTCTCCATATCATCATTAGGGAGGACACTAATATATAATAAAATAATTGATACTAGCTAGGAGGTAATATACATTTTCCCAAGTTTATTTAGACATCACAATAAACTAACAGAAATCTTTGTGAATAATTTAAACTCAGTTATTTTAACACCAGCATAGCGTAAGGAGGACAAGCCATCTCTTCTATGGCGATCAAAACTGCTTTCTAGTAGGGTAAATCTACAAATAGCAAGAAAAGGTCTTCAGTTCTGGTAGAATGTTAGAAACATACTTTGTTACTTTTCAATTTAGCAAACTAAGCGTACACATTAATGTACGTTTACATTACCTTGCAGTATTAACAACTGCTTGAGGATGTCGAAGCATTTTGTATCTAGCAATGGAATTGGGAAAACGATAGATTTTCAGTCCATTGGCAATAATCCTAAAAATGAAAATATATGTTGGCTAATACATTGTCAATTAATGCTCTGCTTTGGCTGTTCCAAATTCAAATTTCTGAAAAAAAATATAAATCCAAAATTTTTTTTAGGATATACAGTTGTACTAGTAGTTGAGAAAAACACTTGATACTTTTGCTATTTTATCTAAAATGTAGATGAGTTTTAACATGCCCTCAGATTTAGACATGATTAAAAATATATTCAAGTATAATACGATTGTATTGTGTAGAACTCATAAATTGCTCACTGGCGTTTTCCATATTAATTAGTAGGCCATTGTTGACGCAGTAAATTATCGACGTTTTTCCATTATTTCCCGATCATCACAAGGAGCAAACGGTGGGTGTGACCAGTCGGTAGGGATACACTCTCTTCCATGGCACCTGATCCCACCTCTTACGTTTTAGAAGCCCATGTTTGCTTTACTTCAAAATTTATATTGTTTAGTGGACTGTTGAGCTTGAATATTGTTCGTTATCGCAACATCTTTCATTCAAGGGGCCTAGACACAGTTTCAACTGATTTTTTAAAATCAATTTTAATGTTTACAATTCCTAACTAAGGCATCATCTATTTATAAGCAAAAATTTGAACATCATTCGATGATTAACAAACAAGATACAGAACTTAAAGTTCTTCGTTCCTTGTTTTTGTTTACAAATGGAAAATATCATATTTGTAACAAATCAATAGTAATTGTCGAATCGTATTTAAAATTAACTCTTGCTTGAAATTATATACATGTACTTTGAACGAACATATATTAGAATATTAACCTGGGTAAACAAAAACATGACACCAGCCTTGTTTACATAACAAAGGTTTGGAGTTCTAAATCTTTCTTGTATCTGGACAACTGGGGTTCAAATTTTTGATGATCATTAGAAAGACCCTAGTTAGATATTTGAAGAAATGGAAAAATAAATATCGAAAATTTAGCTGTAACTGTGCCCATGCCCCTTTAAAGAGAATACTGTGATATTATAATAAAAACGTGATACTGGCTAATAGATAATATACATTTTCCCAAAATATTTTCTCATATCACAATGAATGAAAAAGCATTTTTATGTCAACTAATCAAAAAATGCAAGCATTTCAACTTCAATTATTGATACATATATACTACTTTTAATAACAATAAAAGGATGAAATGTTTATAAATTGCTGATTCCTTTCTGAAAGACACAGACCTGTAGCTCATATCGTCATCTTCTCCACCCCAGTTTATAAACAAGTTTGACCAACCATTGACCATTTCAAATTCATTTTTCTTCCATGCAGAAACGCCTCCTATTAATTTGTTATCTGGAAGTCTATTAGGAATACAAATACACATTTCACTACTATCGTTGGTTTTCTCAGTAAGCAAAGAAGTATGGAAAGTGATACAGGAAAATATAAAATATTTTACTCAATGTTCAAATTAAAAATTATATCAGCAATGGTAAGACGGACCTTTGAAAATTGGAGTTTGATTAGGTTTATGTTACATCCACCGTTTGCATTTGTACCATGTCATTGAGTTTGAAAATGACGGCCTAATATATTGAGTAGTAAATCTAACATTTTGTCAAATAATGACCTTTTTCATACAAAGAGTAAGGTCATTATTTACAACTGAATTTTCCACAGATTTTTTCGCTATTTGCTGATCATGACAAGGACCACAGGGACTCTTCCAGACGGTCTGCAGGGGATGCTAACTCTTCTATCCCACCTCTGATATTCATGAGGTTCGCGTTTGCTCTGTTCCTTATTTGCATTGTTTAATGAAGTTTTGAGCTTTAATACTGTTTGTTCTATCTAAATATTTCAATGAATTTTTTATCATCAACCTGTTCCTGTCAGTAACCAGTTTCTGTTTCAAATCTGGTATTCATAGCCCGTTTCAATTTTTTTTACATGTATATATGTAGCAAACTAAAAGCTGCAATAATGTGACTCCTTATTTTTTTTTATTGATTTATAGGAGAAGGTAACAACTATTTAACGCAATGGTGCAAGTACATGTATACTTCATTAAACTGAAACTGGTTTATTTGTTTAAACGCTTATTTTTTTTTTTACATCAACGTATTCTATGGTTTGTAAAAAGTCTGTGTAATAAATATTTGCATATGATATATACAAATACACATGGTTACTGGAACGTATTAATTAAAATAAAGCATTGAAGTCCCTGAAGAGGTAGCTTTATTTTTTTTAATTCATGAATATATTTTATTTTTTTATGTATAAAGGCAGTTAATTCCACAGTTTTGGTCCGATTGTACAAAATCTCCTGTCGCTGAAAGTTTTCCTTTTATTAAATGGTACTGTATACAACTTTCGGAATCTCAAGAAAAACGAATTGTTTGATTTGATGTTTGCTTTGACAAATGTACCGTCAAATATCCCGGTACCTGCATTGCCAACTGAACAGTTGTACATGAAAATAAGAATTTTAAAATAATACTCTAGATCTGATAGGTACCCAATGAAGATAGAATAGACTGTTTTTGAACTGTGAAGTTTCCTCAAATTTAAATCTTATTTAGTTGAATATTTTGAATTCTTTGCATTTTATTAATTACGCATCGTGCTGTTTCAAACAAAATAACATTACAATAGACTAGATGTGAAATAACTAATGATAAAACCACTCAAGCAATTAGTTTGGCCTAAAGTCTTTTTGCTGAAAAGTGATATTTTTGGTGACATTTCCCTACAGAATTCAAAATTTTTTATTTTAAAGAAAATTACTAAACATAGATGTATCCTTTCGCAAATATTTACATTTCCTGTATTCTAAAATAATTTGTTTTTACCAACGATATTTCTTCAAAATCCATCTTTGAATATATATTACTTTATACAGAGGAATGAGTAAATCCCAAATAAATCCTAAAGAAATGCAAATAAAAACATCTACTATGCATTTTTCAATTCAAACAAACTCATTTTAGACATAACAATCATACATATCTGGGCTTCTTAAGATATTACACAATTTTATACACATAAGGAACTTTTGTTTCTCTTTATTTGCTTAGACCATTTTTCAATGCATAGCATATAAAGATGTCCTATCAATTTTCTATAAACTACTACAAATTATGTGAATTTAGAATACTTTTGTGGGGTTAAAATCTCAACGTTTTAAAAGAACCTCTCTGAGAACGAAGAAACGTTTAGTACATTGAAAGGTATACACATTAATATGGAAATTGTTGCATGAATAGATTAAATTTTTAAGCTTCCTTTCGAGGCATTTTGAAGTAAATTATAAATTAAAGAGTTATCCTTCTTGGCTGAGGATCGGAGATCATTAGTTCTCGACTGTCATTTTTAAAATACTTCAAGACGAAAAGACAAATAATTGAATATGTTTTCAGTGGCATAAACAGGAAAAGATTTTTAATTTGAGATACAAAATTTAAAAAAAGTTAAATTAAAGATCTGGAGCCAAAAGAATTGGATGCGGGGCCTTATGGCATGAATCAAACGAAACAGTACTCGATTTTAAAAGCCTGCAGCCTTTAAACTAAACAGTGTCTGAAAAAAACCATGCTCCTCTCTTTTTCTTATTAATCAAATGAAGATTGAAAAAAAGTTATCAATATCTTAACACGTTTTTTTTAAGAAGCATGAAATTTAAAATAAAAATAATTAACTTACGTGTAGTTAAATTTATCTATTGCTCTTGATAGGTGCATAGGACTTCTAATACATCCATAAAAAATATTATCATTTTCTGGAATTAGATCGACATCATGAAATACAAAACAGTCATGGTTGCGCTTGGCTGCCTCGGTATATCCGATATTGTAGAGTTTTCCTTTATTAAACCCTCGGTTATCAGCCTTAAATAAGGAAAGAAAACAACTAGATATTTTTTGTTGACAAACTATGTGTTTGTCTACTGATTTTTGACTCGTTAATATAATATTTATTCAAATAAAATTCAATTTACTGACTTCCATTTCCACTTTTTAGTAAGACCTTTAAAACATGAACCTATAAAAACCTTATTAAAGTCCATATTTTGAAAGCTTAAGGTAGTTATAATACCTGTCTATTTTTAAAAATAAAAGTTGTACAAATTAAGCTTGGAAAACAATCTGACACTAAGCAGTTAACCTATTGACCAGGTAAGCAACCGCATAACAGCAAAGTATAAACACGCATAACGTCTTTCTTTCTTTGGGTCCTGCTTTCACTGAAAAAGGAGACTAGTGATTTCGGTCTTTCTGTTCAACCATTTGTCTATCTTTCGGTCTGTCTGTTACACTACACTATTATTTTTTCGTGCGAATTCTTGAGAGGCCTTTGAGTGCTTTCAATGAAATTTCATAATACAATTCCTTTCAATTCCCTATGGCTTCACGCAGACCACTTTTGTTTTTTATGTCACAGTGTGAAAGGTCAACCCCATCTATTCATAAATTCTGTCTTCTTTAAGGACATACGCAAGGTACCTTACCTACTGATAATTTTTCAAGATATTCTAAGTTTAAACTTAAAATACCATCACATGTTCTTAGACAAAAAATCAGTATGCGTTACCAGGAATTTGAAAAGATACCAAATTTTGAAAATCTATGCATTATTCAAAGACAAATGTATAAAAAGTACCAAACAAAAATTTTAGATTTTTTTTTATCAAAAAATGTTTTAGAAGAGGTGTACAAATCCATACATAGACATTATAGATATTGCACACAGGTCCTTCATTTAGTGGAACTCTTCAACTCCAGGGAAGAACCCAATAAAGTTCAAACTACATTGCCTATGACCTTAAAACCTTTTTTCCAAGCAATATCTAGAGAAGCCTTTAGTTAGATCTTCTGCAGTTTGCATTACAAAAAATCAATTGGGGAATTTATTTAATACATATATGAAATAGAATAATATTTAGCAGGCACAGGACCCATGATTATGTGATGTTCTTTAAAAAGTTTTGAAATTGGCTTGAATATTAGTAGCGTACATTTATATTGGTGTAATAAAGCGTAAAAAATAGGCATTCCAGGAGGATATTTCTGGAAATAATGCGTCATTACTTTGAACTATTTTAAACATTCTCTATCCAGAGTTACCCTTCCAGCTACACTCCCACATACACTTTTGTCAACGCTTGTTTTACAAGATTCTTAGAAAAATTGTAAAAGATTAAATGTTTTATTAATGATTGTTTTTAATCAAATTTCTTATCAGAAAACATTATTTATTTCAATTTATCACATCTTAAAAGTATTTTTTAATTAAGATTTTAATTTTTACTCCGCAAAATAGTTCATTAAAACTCTGAAAAAAGTCGTTTTTAGGGACTATAGATATAATATAAATGATAAATTTTCATCTTCATCGATAATTACAATGAGTAATTGCTATTTAACGAGCCTGAGTCTAATCATTTCTGCGCTAGGGATTTTGATAATTTTTTGATAATTAATTTTTTTCTGATATATTTATTGTTTTAAAAGCGCCAGATTATCATATTTTTCCCCATTTTTGTATTTCTGCCTTAGAGATTTTTTTTTTCATTCAAGTACATGAAAGTTATCATAAAAAGTCACCAAACAGAGAAATTTCTAAAAAGTTCACCATCTAGGTTGGTCTAGAAATTCATTACTATGTTTATTTTTTCAAAGCCAAATACCTCTAAAATTGCCATATATCGGTGCAGATGAATTATCGGCGCATATGATTTTTTGATAAAAAAAATTTAGCAATATTCAATCGCTTGTATGTTTCTTAGGATGTTCTGTTATCATTTTTTAGTATGATATCCATAGAACATACACGTGAGTCATGCGTCATTCTTCAGCGTCATGCATTGCTTACAAAATCCGAAAATGGTGACATCATTATCCAGAGCCATTTCAGCGTTTTTCCCAAATTATTGTCGTAAAATCACATTTTCAGATCAGTAGGGGTTACAGATAATGTTCAGTTTTTATTAAAATTGAAATATTTGGCAAAGGTTTATTGTCGCACAAATGACTGCATGAAATTTAAAAGCTGCGCAAAGTATATGCGCACTCAAATTAGACTCGGCCTCGTTAAACTTCAAATTTCCACCGTTTTAAATTTGTACAAGAATCTTGTACAAGGAGCGTTGGAAGAGGTGTATGTGGGAGCGTAGCGGGAACGACAACTCTGAACAGAGAATGCTATTTTAAAGTTTTGAACAGAAAAAAGCCATAACTGTTTCATTTTAGGCGTTATTTTTCTTGAGAAAATAATGTTCAAAGCCGTTGCTCAATTCAATATTCGAAAATGTTTTATGCAGAATAATCTGAAAATCAATATTTTACAAAAGTTTTGTGGTCTATAATTTCTGAAAGAATCCCGAATGAAATTTGCATCTTCTACAAAATCAGAAGTTTTAAACATCAAATTTTATCAATAAATAAGTCATAAGAAAAAAAATTAGGTTGATCTTATTGCATAAGCTTTTAAAAAAGCAAGCATGCCTTTTTATATTTTTTTTCACTTTCGTTTTTCTGAAGATTACATAGACATGTTTGCATTGAAACTGTTTGTTCAACATTTATTTCACAATTTATTCCTTTAAAAGTACAAAATATACCAACCTTGCATTATTTCCTAAAAATATCATAATGTTGTTCTTGTATATAGGTATACAAATTATAATAAACAAGAGCATAATTATGTATCTTGACCAAGGAATGATCAAAAAGCATTGTCAGTATTTGTTATCGTTTGTATTTGCAAATTAATACCTGTTCTACAACGTAAACGGAGTACTCGATTTGCTGGCGGTATAATATATCATGGATATTGTTCAACAAAATAGCTAGCTGGTTCTCCCTGTTCCGAAATGGGATAATTATGGCCACATTTTGCACAGATGTACAGGTTGGTTTGTAGTGTCCTCCACTGCTTATCCAAAAAATTTTATTGGCCACTTCTGTATATGATACCGGGGTAACATTTACACTGAAGTTTCCAACTGTGATAAAAAAAGAAATTACAATCATTATTTAAAAAAAAACCTTATTACTAAATAAATACACTAAAGAATCTCATTCAATACGGTATGCTTTCATTAATTATAAGGTTTCTTTTTCATAACACATTAAGGTACGCTATTCTAAGAAAAGATACTGTAACATTGTATGAATAATAATTTCATCAGTTGTTTATTCGGGTTGCATATCTATGCACCACACTACATTGTGGATGCCTTGAGAAACAATAACTTAAATTGATTTCGTTTGATATTATTCTGAGTAAAGACTCTTGCAGTTTTAGCTCTGTTGGTGTCTTTATAAAATTGTCATTCGTTTCCTCTCACTTTTAGATGGAAGAAACATAATCCTAGCCTAATATCCATAACTATTGTCTCAAAAAGTTGAAAAAGCTCTTAAATTATCTCCTGGCCACCCATATAAAATTTTCCTCAAATCAACCATGTTGCATTTGAAATTCGAAGTAGAAGAGTACCCCGAATATCATAAATTAATAATGAAATCATTTTGTTAATTTTCATAGTTTTTATTCAAGAACAGAAACTTTTTAGCTAAAAATGTAAAGATCCGTATTTTCTTGAATACTTTTACTGTTCTTTAGACTACTTTTACGTATAAACGTGAGGAAAGTCAGTGCTATTGCATGATATACGTATATGCATGTTTAATTGTGCAAAGAAACATGTGCAAATAACGAATAGCATTTGAACTCAAAAGTCAATTAAACATTACAAAATAGGAGCGGAACAAACACGGATCTTTAAAACATCAAAGGTGGGATCAGGTGATACGGATGAGTCTGCGTCCCCTGCCGACCGGTCACACCCTCCCTGTGCTCCTTGATATTATAGGGAAATAACAAACAATCCATGGACAACCCAGTGTGTAAATAATGGCATGACAATTAATATGACAAATTGACTTAATGATAAATTGTAATTCCTGACAAGGTCTTTGTATCGACCATATAATTTACAAAATGAAAACTTCGATTGTGATTTGAACTAGAGTCACAACAAACAACATCTGACCCTACCGCGAAACTGGGAATACGTACCAAGCAGCGATGTATACGTTTTGCAATAGAAGACCAACTTATACAGGAAAACAGACCAATACGTTGCACAGAACAAGAATATAAGATGAACTATGTTTTCTCGCCAATGCCTATATCTATTCCGCTTTACAATCATCTGCATATTCTGAAATCACAAAATGAAAATAAGTGGAAGAAACGTATATTTCTATAGAATAAAATATAATCCACAATAAACAAACAATATAGAAATATTTATACCCTCAAAATAAAAAATGGGAGGGTATTAAGATAACTTGATGTCGATCCGTCCGTCTGGTTTTACGTCTGCCCGTTAGTTTGATATGCTTTAAGAACATCCGATTCTCTTTTTTTGTTGTTGTTTTTTTCTGTGATAACTCTAAGAAAGTAAGTGGAGTTTGTTTCTTCTAACTATTCTACCGGAATGTATATTAGGCAAAGCGATAGGTCAGGAGCTAAGGAGACCTACTATGCATATAAATTTTGTGCGCGTCTGTTTTTGTGTCTGACGCTAAGGAGGCCAAATATCATATACTGAAATGAAAAAGAAACGCAGGGTAAACTTTTGAGTTGTATTAAATTTATTTTTCTTTTTTATTTTTTCAGTATCTTTATTTCCCTTTGCATGGAATTCATCCGAGTTTTTTTCCTTTAAACCATAGGTATATTGGGCATAGGTAACTTAGCCAGAAAATTAGTCAAGTGTCATGCGCATGCGCCAGTGAGAGGAATACAACATAAAGTTTACCGACTCAAAAGCCCAAATTGCGCAATTGGTTTCTTTCAGTTTTGGGTTGAATAAAATGATTAAGATAGTCTTTTGTATTAAATGCTGTTTTTAGCCGGGCTTATTGCTCAAAGAGCAATTGCCGGCTTATGTCATCCTGTTCAAGACAGGATGTCAACCCCATAGTCGCCATTTTAAAGTTACGGGTAAAAATATAGTTCTTACTTTCAACCGCTTCTGAGATAATACAAACGCTAAATAAAGCAACGTTAATAAAACGAAGTTTTATCTAAATAAATAAACATTAGTAGTAATGACTTTGAAAACTTCAGTCTTAAGTCAAAGAACATTGTTTATTAGCGTAAGGATATCTGATAATCAGTGTTATCGTAGTTCTCTACACTAACGAGGAAAAACAGGAGAGGGAACCAGACTGGCCTGTTTGTTTACATTCAGCCGTAGTACCAGATTAATTTTGATTCTGACAAAATCGGACCGTGGTATTTGGATCGAAAACTCATTGTCAGTGTCTTGTAATTTATATTGCTAGTTTAAAAAAAAACATTTTCATAAGAATTTTTAATCTGATATTCTTTTTATTTATCTGCTAATACAATATAAACGTATGATTCATGTTAGAAATTCATTTTACTCTGTAAATGAGCCCGGCTCTCTGTACTTCTGAGTACTTTGATTATGATAGAAAGGTGGTGATGAAACAGGTGGCAGGACGTACGAATAATCTGACCTTAATGTGACTCTGTTTCGCGTCAACGTCATCGTCACGGTTCTTTGGAAACCATTCCAAACCCTGTTTGACACCGGGTAACAAGCTCTTTGGTGGGAGATTTACTAGACACTGTTCAGTAACCCGTTGTTGCTTTTGTCCTTACTTAGGCATTACGAAAATCAGACCCGATGAAACTTCCGTAAACTGTACAAAGATTGCAAGAAATTCATATAGTCCGAAAATATTATTATTTTTTTTTATTTACATTTTCTGTAATTTTTTTATTAGAAAGAGAGAGAGAGAGAGAGAGAACGGGAAATAGAGCAAGAGAGAGAGAGAAAAGAGAGAGAGAGAGAAGGGATAGTGAGATAAAAAGAATCATAAACATATTCTTCCAGGGTTTCAAGGCTTCGTCAAAAGTCACATGATTATTGTTCTTATATGCAATACATTTGTTTGTTTCATACATATATTTGATGGAGGATATCAGTTTATTCGAGAAGATGTTTTAAGCACTACATCTCATTCTATGAATAAAATATTTAATTTGAAGAGCAATGAGATATTTAAGTTTGTCTAATTTTGTAAAAGATTCCAATATGAATTCTTTCTTTGAATATACAACATTAATATGAATCTTTCTGAAACAACTATCAAAACTGTTCAATAAGTCTTGTATTACTTCACATTGCCAGAAGATGTGTGCAATAGTTTCTGTCTCATTTCACAAAAAGAACACCCATATAAATCTATTTTCTTAATTTAATGTAAAAAGGAATATGTTGCTAATATTTTATGATTAATTTGATCTGAAACCACTGCAGTTTTGTATCTGTTAATCGTCCTAGAGGTGTGAGATTCCTACGTTTCCAATGCCTTATCATTTTCTTTATGTTTTCTAACTTTGATCTGAGATTCCTTGAAAGTGCAAATCTATATCAAATTCAATACCAAGTAACCTAAAGTTTTTCTTTCCCCGCTCAAGAAATTGATTTTTACATAAAACCTCATCACTACCTTTTTTGCTACCTATCCATATTACTTGTGTTTTATCATAATTTATATGTAAGCCGGACACTTTTGCAAAATCTCTAAGGGTACTTAAATTAACTTGATTGCGAAGATTTCATACTGCCATCTAATATAAGAGAAGTGTCATTAGCAAGCATTGAAATTTTCTTTTCCCCATTAATGAAATGAATACCTTTGATGCCTTTAAAGGATTTCAGCACATAACCATGTGAAAATTCCTCCATGGAACTTATTTCTTTTATAACTTTTTCTTCTTTGAAAAGTCTGGATTTTTTTTAAAAGACGAATATGAAATACATTTTCCTCTAATTTCCATGAGACGTGTTTCTAAAACTAACTGGTCATTGACTAAAAATACAATATTTTCATCTTTTATACCTCTAAAGTTTGATGAAAAAGAACTAAAGTAACAGTCAAAACCCCACATGTATCTGATTTCATGTCCTTTCAGGTGTAAAATGAGTGTCCTGAAGGCAGTAAATATTATAATTCCCATTAGATAATTAAAAACATCTCTTCCTTTGTTGATATCCCCCAATCCTTGACAGTTAATTAGCTGATAATATTTTCAAAGAAATGATGGATAATTAAGAAATTTACCTCTGACGGAACCTGGAGCTTCTGTACGAATTAACACTACTGGCTTTTAAAACCCCTGTCCGTATGAAAATCCCCTGTCTTTCTTTGTATCCTACAGCATTTTCACAGTAAGCTACGGTATATCTACAGTATGCTACGGTATGCCAGCTCTGTATATATAGTAAATCTCTGTATGCCACTGTATGTATCCCCAGCATGCTACAGTTACATACAGTAGGCCCCGATACGCCTACAGTATGTCACTGTATGGCTACTGTTTCCTACAGACAACTACGGTAAACCCCAGTACATGCCCCAGTACGCCCCTGTATATGTTCATTGAAGCAAAAAGAAGAAGTTTACACACTCCCAGAGCACTGTACGGTTACCTAAGATGTGGGATTATCAATTAAGTACATTTAGTTATTTACCTAAGAAATTTTTGAACAAATATACAAACACAAAGTTATATTTTTTTTATTTGTTAAGAGACTTATTTAGTTCTGTCATAACTCTGAAATAACTCTGAAAAATTAATAAATCATTGCTTCAAAAAATATTTATTTTTCAATTTTTTAAATTAATTATTTATTCTTTGAATTGGTTGATTAGTTAATTAATTAATTTATGTATTTTGCGAACACCTATTTAATCCATAAAATACTTGGTCTGACTTTGTAACTTTTCTTAAAAAAAAAAAACAGGGGTAATGCTGCATTTTGGAAATTGTAGTTTTAAAATTGATTCATTTTCTTTAAAAAAAATAAAATTAATTAACGGCATGAAATTAATCATTGTAAAAACAAATCAATCTATTTCTTGACAAATGCAGAGGTGCAAAGTAGCCACGGCACAAAATAAACAAGGTGAAGTGGTAAGTGGAAATTAAATAAAATAAATGACTTTAAATATACAAAATTAAAAAAAAATGAACTAATAATTTATCTTATTTATTTATTCTGTTTATAAATTAATCTACAAATACATAAATAAACAAAATAAATAAATAAATAATTTATTTATTTTTGTACTTTACAAGACAACAAAGTAATCAATTATATAAGTCCCCCTCCCCCCTGATTCTTTTTAATTTATTTTATATAAAAATTATTTATCCTAAAATGCGCTACAAAGTATTTTTTAAGCATATTAAAACAAATTACAGTTATTTTACGTCCATGATGGATATCAAAATAATCGTCACATTATGCACAATTCTAATTTGTCAATTGCAATTTCATATTTTTACGTTGTTTTGATTGAAAAAAATCGGTTTTCAAAACCCTAACACGATTATGAAAGAACTTCAAAGCCATTGATTGTTTACCAGTGACACGGGGTACACAGTAATGGCACCTATTGTCTTTTTCACCGACCACTATACCTTGTTTATTTGGTGGCAGAGAGCGACCGTGTCCACTCTGCGGCTGTTTGAAATAACATTTCTCTTTGTATGAGAACCGATGTTTGTCAAACTAAACAAAATAAAGGTATCAAAAAAGCTATTGACGAATTAAGATTGTGCATAATGAGACGATTATTTTGATATCCAACACAGAAGTAAAATAATTAAAAATAGTTTTAATATGATTCAAAAAGACTTTGAGAGACATTTTAGCGTAAACTTGTTTACATAAAATAAGCCAAATAAATCCAACTTTCAGGATTATAATTAATTTGTTTGTCTCGTCAATTTTAAGAATAAATAGATAAATATATTGTTTTTTTACAATGATTAAATACTGATTAAATACGTGCTTTTAATCAGTTTTATTTATTTATCCACTAACCATTTAAAAATCAATTATTGAATTAATTTTAAAAACTAGAATTTTCTCAAATGCAGCATTACATTTGCTGTGTTTTTTTTCTCTCTTTTTTACAAAAGGTTTAAAAAAGCCATTCCAAGTATTTGATGGATTAAACAGGTGTTAGAAAAATAAATACATGGTAAATAAATAAAATAAATTATTAATCAATCAACATAAAAATGTCAATCTTTTTATTTATATTTTTTAAATTGACAATACAACGAAATAATCAATTATTTATATCATCAAAAATGCAATTTTTTAAG